ACTCACTATTACAGTGGGCCATACAATCAAGAGAAAGACGATTTTATTATGAGTGACCTGGCTGACAAAGCAAAAAACCACCACTTCTGGCAATCAATCCATCCTCAGGCACCCATCTAAATTCACAGAGCATTCCCAAAACCAAAACACAGTCCTTTCCCTCCCCTCCCCACTGCATCCCACACCTTCTACACACAACAGACCACAATGAGAGTGACCACATTTCAAACAGGGTTCCCAACACTCCCAATTCCATACCCTTCTTTCTTACACACGTGTTCAGAGATCCCAACCTCATAAACCCCCAGCCAAGCAGCCAATGCACAATTATTATTTTTCTCCTAAGGGTGACCACTTTGGACGCCCCCCGCCACCTCACCAGAAACAACCCTCCCGCTAAGCAGTGCTGGAGACCTATTTCACCTTAAGTGATACGACATTTGGCAATCTCCCACTCCCCTTTTATAGCAATCTATGTATTAAAGTCACCTCCCCAACAAAGGCATTTTTAACAGCTCTGGGTGTATGAAAAGCACGCCTGTCCTAATTCAGAAAATGAGGAGGATTTTGCCAGCAAGACGGTCCTATCCCGTCAATGAAAAAAAAAAGTCGGCTCTCTTGTCACCCAGATGTCAGATTCAACTCCCAAGAGAGATCTTTTGTAAAGACAATACCGGTCAGAAAAAGGCAGGGTCATCTTCAGGGTTAGCTTGGCACAGAGCATCCCACACGGAATCGGATGCAATTTCTTTCCCACCACCATCACTGGCACCACCACTTCCGGTTGTGAATCCAGCATGACATTCCCCCACCCCACCTCACCCTCACCCCACATCCTCCGGTACCAATCCAGGGTAGGGATACGCCGCCCCTCCAAACATCCTTTCCCTTGGACGAGGCACTAAAAGCCTCTCTCTCTCTCTCTTCCTCCCCTTCTGCGAATTGCAGGCACGGAGCTTCTTCTCTCTCTCCCCCCCCCCCAACGCCTTTTTCCCAAAGCGAAAGAGAAAGCGGGCGGGGTTGTGGGCAAAGGTCCGTGCCAGGAAAAAGAAAGGGAAAGGCAGAAAAGAGCCGGTCGAAAGTCACACCCTTCTGGGCCACCGGGTCCCTTCACCCATCCCGGAGAGAAGCCAAAGTTTCAAATCCTGCTTTCTGGAGGGGGAGCCGGGTACCCTGGCAGCCTTGCCCTGCAAAGCACCGGGGGAAAAAGGCAGCTGCCTCCCGCTGGGGGCCCTTTCCTTCCTTCCTTCCTTCCTTCCTTCCCTTCCCCTCAATCTTCCTTCTTCCTTCCACTTTCAGTCTTTTTCCCTTCCTTCCTTCTCAATCTTCCTTCTCCTTTCAGTCTTTTCCCCTTCCTTCCTT